TATATATATATATATATATATATATATATATATATATATATATATATATATATACATACCTATTTTTATTGCACTGATAGAATGTTCAATATTCATCCAACAGAGATGACATTGTTGTAATATTTGTATACTAAAATTGTCTTTGTTTTTCTTTCTTAAATCTATTTATCCTTCAGTATATTGTATTACAATCCATTTGATCAACTTTAGCTTTCTTTGCCCATATTTGGAAACATTACTTTTTGAACTATCATAATACTTCAGTGCTATTCTTTTGCTGCATTTCAAGCACTGGTATTCCTTTAGGAATGCATGTCTAGTTTATTATGTGGCCTACAGTGCACAACGTCGCAAAGGCACTAAGTTACATTGCTAAATTGTCCCCATAGAGCAATCTAGAAACTGCATCTCCATTGCTTCACTTTAATGCATTGCAAATGCATTTTTGAATACCCTGACTTGCTCCTTTGAGACTATTTTGCAACCTTACATTTTGCCACTTAACGTTTCAATTACCAGCCTTAACCATGATATAAAGTTTTTAATGAAATCTGTGTTAAACTCCTTTAAAGATTCAGCATTAGTGTTTGTAAGGGAGTTCAGACTAAATCACCTGTTCATTTTTTTCTATTTCAGTACAGAATCCCAATCCACAATGACGCAGGATTGTTGTAGATCTTTTCTGAGTGTCCAATAAACATTAATCCAATCCAAGACAGTCTAAATGCGTAGACAAAACGTCTGTGCGCAGCAGCACACTTTAAAGGTGTCAGCATGAATCTGCCAGGCCAGTCAGCCTTCAGGGTCTTTGCTGACGTACGGCAGGCCGGTAGGGTGTGGGCGCCACAGTAAAGTGGGGTCACACATCACATTCATACCAACCTCAGAAGAGTCCTTTATAGTCCCAAGAAAAGCTACGGGAATGTATTTAATCCCTGGTGGAAGGATGATGTGTTAAGAGGTCTGATAAGGAACATATCAACAGCAGGAGTCGTCCATCACTGCACTCGTCCACTGAGCCAGAGCACTCTGAGATGGTGGCGAAGAGAGAGAGTTTGCTTTGCTTCAGACTAACCATATGTGTCCGCTGGCTCGTTTTTATTCTATTCTCTAGGGTAGCTGAGTGGTAGGATTTTTTGCATTTTTGCGTTTTTTTTTCTTAATATAATGATGACTACACCATAAAATGGTTGTAGTTTTAACTGTGAAAATGCTACTTTAAAATGTTACAGTTAATTGGTTAACAATAAGTTATCTTATTCTATATGGAACGAAAAAACTGAAATAGATCTAATTTCATGTTATTTTACAGTAAAATACTATTAAATATACAGTTTTTGGAAGTGAAACAGAACAAGTCATCTCCTCATTTACAGTGGAAAAACTGTAAATTGGCATTCCCAGAATTCTCTGTGACAACAGTTGACAGTTTTTCATGACTTAAGTTTTTTCTCTTCTCAGTTATATAAAACCTGGATTTATTTCGCATCTTATGCTGTTAAATTAATGTTTATTGTATTATTTCAGTGTCATGTATGTTACCATGATGGTGTTTTGTATTTGTGTATTTGTTAGTATTTACCTCAACTCATGAAAAAGCTACTTGTGTGATGAACTTTGATTCATCATGTGGCTTTCTCTTTACTACCTGTATTTTTAACACTAGAACCGCCAGAGGTCGCTGTATACCTAAAAGCGCCAGCGGGTAAATTTTACCCACGCACATGACAGCTGTTTTTGAATGGCTAAAGAACATATTATTTCACTGTATTATGCTACTGTCTTCACAAAGAAGTGTCTAGAGTCATGAAATGATTATGTATAGTCATCAACTATATTTTGTCCTGTTGTTTTATGTTCAAGGCTTTTTTATGCAGGCTACACGAGTCACTTTTCATAACGGTCAATTTTAAGCTAAACAAGCCTGCACTGACAACGAGAATTAGAAGGAAGTAAATACATATTTGGGTGGTGTAATAGGCTATTATAATACAATGTCATTAATCAATATATTAAGATAACCTATGTTATTTAAATTACTAAAATAGCCTATAGACAATAATGAGCAATAATAAGCCTAATTCACCGCATTGCATAGGATGATGCCATGACAAATTCAAGCGCACAGCTTCACCTAATGAATTATTAATTTGTTTAGTTATATCATTTATCATTTTAATTATACAAGAAGAACACCAATAAACTTCAGGTAATCAAAAAAAAAAGGTTTTATTCATTATATCTGATCTGATTTTTTTTCTTCAGGAAACAGGCAGACTAGAATAAATAGCAACACAGAAGCGAACAATAAACGATAGAAATGGCAAAACAAAAATGTAAGAATTAATCCAAATTTTGAACAATTATGAGTAACATTAGGATAAAACATCTAAATATGATATATTGATCGCTGTCAGATGCTGAGCCGACAGGACGCTTTACTCATCTCCTCACCATCAGACTCTCCATCACTCATGGCATTTAGTGCTTCTTATACCTCTTCAGCATTCAAAATCGCCTAATTTGACTTATTTTGTCTTTATTTATGAAACTGATAACTGCTAATTCAGTGAGTGAAAGGCGTTGCCTAGCAATGTACTATGTTAAAACATAAGCGGCACGAAAATGACCGCGTGAACATACAGGCATTGTATAGCGGGTAAATTTGAGCGGGCTGGCACTTATTGGTATAAATGCCCCATTTTTTGATCCGGTTTTATCTAAACCGTTTTTAACAACAGGGGATTGTAAATCACACAATTTTAGTAAAAGTCAGTGACTGGGAGACTTGAATGTTTTATTAAAAATCTTTTATGTACGTTTTAAAACCACCCGTGGCTGTTCTAGTGTTAAAGGAACAGTTCACCCAAAAATGAAAATTTGCTGAAATTTACTCACCTGAGGCTCAGGACATCCAAGATGTCAATGAGTTTGTTTGTTCATCAGAACAGATTTGGAGAAATGTAGCATTTCATCACTTGCTCACCATTGGATCCTCTGCAGTGAATGGGTGCCGTCAGAAAGAGAGTCCAAACAGCTGATAAAAACATCACAAAAAAACACAATTTCCATTTTACTGAAATTTTCAGTAAATTCTCATTTTTGGATGATCTACTCATTTAAGATGGTTGTCAATATATTATACAGGTTATATATATATATATATATATATATATATATTTTATTTTATTTATTTTTTTTTTTTACTGTAAATTTAAATTCAATCTCTAAACCTTAAAATGTTGCTGCCATATTTTTCCAGTAAAGTTTTGGCAACCACAGCTACCAATTTTTTAACAGCATAATAATTTTTTACAGTGTCAGTATGAAACCTTTATTGACTTTGCATTTAAAGCAATCATAGACCATTCTAAATACATCTGCATTCACTGTTCATTTTATAGACATTCCCAAAAAAAGATTCATCCTTAGGGTTGGTCTGGTATTGAGCGGGTTTCTTCCGTGTGAGTGGATACCGCTTGACAACAAAACTTGCCTAGCCGAAATCCAATAAAATGTTGGGTTTGTGCTGTTCTTGGATTCTGTGCTTTCTTAATCAGATTGAACCCTTGACCGTATTAAACCGGGGTGAGCATTAATTGTCTGTTTATTTAAATGCATGAGTGTGAGTGTGTGTGTGTGCTTGATTAACAGCTTAAGTGGATCTGTCTTGAATAATAAGCTTTATGCAAAGATCGGATAGTACAGTGCTAAAGCATGATCCTAAAAGAGCGGTACGGGAATCTTTGATGGGATATCACAACTTTGTCTAATTACAAGGATTATCTGAGGAAGGAATTGAAGCAGAGTCTAAAATATCTCTCCTTTCTGAAATGATATGGTCCACATCACTCCAAACAGGACGTGATGTTGACATTCTCACAGCTTTTGCATGAACTGAAGCAGAGAGGCTGGAGTAGCTTAGTTAACCCAGCGGACTGATTAAGTGCCGTTGTATTTTTTCATTGTATATTTCTGGAACTCTTTGCTCTTATCTGCAGGTGAACACAGCCATGCATGAATCCAAGCTGGTGGAGGAGTGTGATGAATTGGTGGAGATAATTCGCCAGAGGAAACAGGTCATTGCTGTCAAGATCAAGGAGTCCAAGGTACAGTTTCTCTCTATTAAGTCAGACTCGTATCAAGCACTTGAGACACATTTAGGAAGGTTTTCGATTTGCTTTTCAATTTATAAATTCTTTAAAGTTACGAGCTTCTTTAATTTTCACCTAAAAAATGGAAATTTCATCATTTACTCACCTTCATGTCATCCAAGAAAATGTGTGTGTGTGTTTTGTCCATACAGTGAATATCAATGGGGCTCAGTGTTGTATTGGTTTGGACCCCACTGACTTTCATTATACAGACAAAAGCAGTTGAAACAATTGTCCAAACATCTTATTTTGTGTTCTACAGAAGAACAAAAGCTATACAGGTTTGGAACAACATAATAATGACTTTCATTTTTGGTGAACTGTTCCTTTAAGACGCACATATGACAGAGAAACAGGTTTTTTCAGAGCTCAGTCCTTCACTCACTTAGAGAAAGCTGTTTGAATTTGATTCTTGACAGTATGTCACATAGCGCACAAATACGGAGCTGGCATTTCTAACACATCTTTCAGATCATGTCACTAGCCCTGTTATAGCAAGAGAGAGGCTGTCAGGCTCTGTTGGACCCTACGCTGTGCGGAGAGATAGGTGATATGTCGCCTGATGACAAGCTGGAGAAAAAGCTGGGAAAATCACAGCATATTTTCCCTTTGTGAATTAAAAACTCCTCTATTTAATCTGTTCTGAGTGAACGCTGAGGTTAAGCTGGTGCATATGAGTAATAATGTGGCTGTGAGGACGTCAAATGGGGCTTTGGAGTTCTTGTCTGATAGTCCACAGGCCAAAGTGTGGTGGTCGTCGGGTAAGGGTGCAGTGAAGTGTAGAGATATTGCTTGAAAAAGATTGTTGAATGTATGACAGGAAGCTTGGCTGGTTGATGCGGACTTGGCCATGTGGCTTCCCTTGTGTAACTGTAACAAGGCCTTGATAATCTTCAGCAGCACAAACACAGCACAATGAACAGCACTCTTCTCCTCTGGGATAGGATATAAAGAATAGACACTCACAAATACGACTAATGCTAAAAATCACTTTTGAGTGCAAAATAAATGGAAATGTTGAAATGTTCATTTGCATTATAAAGACAAGGGGGCTTTTTAGTTTTGTGTTGCACTTGTAATTTAAAGCAAAAATAAACAACTAGAGATGTGTGTAATAGTGATTTTATTGTGAATAAGGGATGTTTTAGCCAAAATTCAAAGCTCTTAAAGGGATAGTTCACCCAAAAATTCTGTCATTAATTACTCACCCTCATGTCGTTTCAAACCCGTGAGACCTTCGGTGATCTTCGGAACACAAATTAAGATATTTTTGATGGAATCTGAGAGCTGTCTGACCCTGCATAGTGATTTTTTGGGTGAACTAACCCTTTAAGAGATGTACTATACTGGCAATAAAAATAATAAAATAAACCAATATTTCATATATAATTACTTTGAATAATGTTTCATTATTTTATTCATTTTTATTATACTAACGTTCAAAAGTACAGTTGATATTTTTTAAAGAAATATTAAAGAAAACATTTTAAAGAAATATTTTTATTCAACAAGGATGCATTCAATTGATCAAATGTGACCGTGAAGACATTTACGAGGTTATAAACATTTTAAATCTCAGCAGTTATTTGAAATAAATGCTGAACTTAAAATTTTCATCAGAGAATCCTGAACATTGTATTACAGTTTCCACAAAAATATGAAGTGGCACAACTTCAGTTTTTAACATACAATAATAAATGTTTCTCGAGCAGCAAACCAGCATATTAGAATGATCATGTGACACTGAAGACTGCAGTAATGATGTTGAAAATTCAGCTTTGCATCACAGAAATAGATTACTTTACATAAATATATTAGATAAATTAAAAGAGAAAATACTATATTTTTACATTACTGTACTTTTATTCAAATCAATGTAGTCTGACCTGAGTGAGCATAGGAGAACTTTTGAATGGCAGCATATTTTTTTGAAATTATTAATTGTGGTTCATTTTTAAGAATGAGTAATAAATGTAACAATTTTCAATATAACTTTAACTTGCTGTTACCAAGCAAGGCAGCTTTTTGCAACAGTTTTGAACACTGATAATCTGATTTTACATGGAACAATCATATATTGTTCCACATTTTATATTTTGACACTCTTCAAACATTACCAGAACTGAAGAGTCAGATTTTCTGCTCCAGTTCATCTGTGCGCAGTGTGTGTAGCGTTTTGTGTTTGACAGTGAGTGTGCAGCGCACAGGCACTTTAACTTGACAGCCTGAACTCACACTCTTATCAAGTGGGGATTTGAGCCGCGAGACAGGCCTGTGCTTCTCTGTTTTTGGGTAATGTGATGTGAGAGACCTGGACAAATGCAGTAATCTCCATCAGAAGTGTCTACGTAAGGCCTCTCACATGGCAGCCCCGAGTCGACATGCACAGTCTGCATCATGAGATTATGTCTGGCCTTTTGCAAACATCAGTAATGCAGCTCCAGCACAAAGTGCCTGTATCTCTAGCATTAAGGAGGCTTTTGGAATCATAAACCCAGATGCAAAGTGTCTGTAAGATTTGATCTGAGTCTTTGGCTGTTCAGGCTTGTTTGTTACTGGATTGTTTTTGAATGATTTTCTTTTTTTTTTTCTGATGCAGTCCAGTTTCTTTAATGCCGTCCTGAAATTCTGAAACTTTTTGGCAGTGCACCATCTCATCAAAGCAAATCATTTGAAGCTGTCTTTAAGAAATGGGGTCAGATTGGGATTTGATATAATGCAATCCACTTCTGCACCGAGCAACATTTTTCTCTCCTTGTTTCTTGATTTATCTGAATGCTTCCAATCATTCCTTCCTGTCAGTCATCCCATTCCTCTATTGAATTACACTGTGGCATAGGCTAGATCCTGCTTAACCAACTTACTGGCTTATTGAGGAAGCATAGCTAATGTCTCTCATTCCCTCGCAAAAGAAAAATAATGCATACGCACATGAAACATGGGGTTATTTGAAGGAAAGCTCAATTCATAGTAAATCTGTGGTCAGGTATTGTGGGCAAAATCGTATTTCATGCTGTGAGTGCATTATATTATGGTAACGGTATATATAAGATTGCTGGAAATTCTTTTATTTTTTATGTAAATTCAGACCAATATGTTTTATATTTAAGCATGGAATGTAGCAATGCCTATTTTTGTATAATCTATAGAATTATAATATACTTTGCAAATCAAATGCATATCATCTCATTTGAATCATTTCCTTTTGTAATGAATCCCGATGGAGACAAACCAAAAGATATTATTCATATACGCTGCCACTAAAAAGTTTGGCCTCAGTTTTTTAAAGAAATTAATACTTTTATTTAGCAAGAAAGTAAATAAATAGAAAAAAATATTTCAAATAAATGCTGTTCTTTTGAACTTTCTATTCATCAAAGAATCCTAAAAAAATGTATCAGGGTTATGTATCAGAGCACAACTGTTTTCAACATTGAGAATAATAAGAAATGTTTCTTGAGCAGCAAACCGTTTCAAATAAATGAATAATTGGTGAACAAATGAGACTTATTTCAAAAATCATTAAAAAATCTTACTGACCCCAAACTTTTGAACTTTGTCAACACAGTTAAACTAGTAAATTCTGAGTGGATAAGTCATATTTTGGGATGTTGTAAAGTAGCTGAAACAAGCTCACCTGTGACCACACATCAGTTAAATTCTGTATGAATGCAGAAAGTTGATTTTTATGCAAGGAGGAAATCTGAAAAGCTATCCAGCCAGACACAAGAAATATGAGAAATATGAAACATTTAAAGGTATTCCAGCTTTAAATGAGATTCTTTGCACAGCAGTCTGGATTGGGCCATACTCTTTTTTTGTTAAAATCTCTTGAGACTTTGTGTAATTGATTTGGCTCACATTTTTTTTAAAGACATCTAATACAGAATGAAATATGCATTTGTTTTTCCATTCAGGCAAAGTCTTTAACAGTTCATGCTAATTCAGCATTTATATGAGTCCTTAAAAGTAACTGAAAATCAGAATCCGTCACTTTATTGTTTCTCAGCTGTAATTACACCAAACGCAAACAAAGCAAAGGGCTCATTTGGCTGTGATGATGAGCCAAGGGGTGATAATGAGTTTTTGATCAAATGCTCCATTAGGGTCCATTATTTTTCATAACATCTTGGGGAATGTAAACATTTATAATATTAATAGCTTAGAAAGTTGTAATAACAGCTCCATGCATTATCTCTCATAAGAGTGTGGATATATTGTAAAAAGCATGTGTGTGGGTTTAGGTGATGAAGTTGAGGAAGCTGGCCCAGCAGATTGCGAACTGCAGACAGTGTCTAGAGCGCTCGAGTGCCCTCATCACACAGGCTGAGCACAGTCTGAAGGAGAACGACCACACCCGCTTCCTCCAGACGGCCAGGAATGTGGCAGAGAGGTGAGACCGCGCACACACACCATCACTGCCTCTGCCAGCGTGAATTCAACTTTCAGCTACTCTGCACATTTCCTGGTGCCGCCTCCTCCTTTCAGTTCTGCTGCTTGTGGCTTCAGGACTCAATATTTAACAGTATTTGTGCAGCTTTGGGTGTGGAGAGAGACTTTGTGTTGTCATGCGTTTTTGACGAGCAATTAATGTAAACACAGGCGGTTTGTTTTGTGGAAATGTAAACGGGTACAGAAACAGGAGGATTCTGTGTTGCGTTTTCATATCTGTGCATTAGGCAGTGTAAATGCAGTCTAGAGGACCGGATGCTGGCTAAATAATGTGCAATAATAAAAATTTTGATGAGAAACTCACTGATCCTAATGTCTGTTTTTTTGTCCTTTGTTACTGACAGTTTAATTGAAAACTCAAAAACAATGATACTTAATGAAATAAAAATTGAGTAATTATATGTATGAATATTTTTTAATAAAAATAAAACTTTTCACTGTTCTTAATTTTTGTTTTTTTGGTCCTTTATTACTGACTATTTACTTAAAATCATGTACCTAAAAACAATGTTTCCTGAATGAAACAAAAATGTAATAATTATATGTATAAATATTTTATAGATTTTTGTATGAAAAAGAGAAAACTGCTCACTTATCTTAATGATTTTTATTCCTTATTACTGACTGTCTACTAAAAACCTGCCTTAAAACAGTGTTTTCTAAATTAACTAACAATTGAATAATTATATGTAATATTATATGTATACACATTTTTTCCTACTTACTGATCGTTTACTTAAAAATTTGTACCTAGAAACAATGTTTCCTTTAAATAAAAACTAATTATTTATAGTATTAGATATATAAATATTTTATAGATTTTAATAAATATAATATTGAATAATATAGCAATAGTTAAAGGATACATGCCATTATTTTCTAATATCGTTATTGTAAATATATATTTATTTTTTATACAATGTCATGGCATCAGAATTGTTATCAAGAACTGTAAAATTTCAGTGGTTTTGGTAGACTGTGCAGTCTTCTGTATTATTTGTGCCACACACATTTCTCTGAGTTTGAGCGCTGCCAGATGCTGTTTATAATTTCTGTCACTGTGGGTGAAATCACCTACAGTCTTATAGCCTGTAAATAGACTGTTGTAAATAGAAACATTTATAAATTAATTGCCAGTGCCTCTCTTTCCTCCCAGAGTTGCCATGGCCACCGCCTCCTCCCAGGTCCTCATCCCAGACGTCAATCTGAACGAGGCTTTTGACAATTTTGCCCTTGATTTCTCCAGAGAAAAGAAAATTCTGGAAGGACTTGATTACTTGACAGGTAAAACCAGTGAGAAAACTGAAACCACCTTCTACAGGTGCCTTTTGTGTATGCAGTGCAAAGTTAATGAATACATGCTGTATCCGGGATATGGCCAGAATTACATCAGCACAAGTGAATCAATACATCCCGTCTTGATGATTGCCTTCTTTTCCAGCGCCCAACCCTCCATCTATACGTGAAGAGCTCTGCACGGCTTCGCATGACACCATTACAGTGCACTGGACCTCTGAAGATGAATTCAGCGTCACCTCCTATGAGCTTCAGTACACCATCTACACTGGCCAGACCAACTTCATCAGTGAGTCTAAATACACACCTTGCACAGCTTGCTATCTCACTCTTTTACCATCAAACCAACATTTATATCTTTTGCTTCTGTTCACAAACAATTTCCATTAGACGTCAAGTTGTGACCCTACACAGTACCAACATTTTTGCCATAGAAATGTAAACAAAGATTTATTATAGTATTAATATTATATATATATATATATATTATATTATATATAAGGACTGCACAAGCCCATCAATTAAAAAAAATAATCTTAGGCTTTATATAGGAATAAAACAAATAGGACTCATGGATGTGACTGTGACTTTTTTCAATTAATTTTAATTTAATAAAATTTTTTATTTATTTATTTATCTTTTATTTAATTTACTTATTTGTAATTAATAATATTTTATTCATATTTTTTATAATGTAATATGCACACTTTTTTAATCAGAAATACAATAAAAACAGTAATATTGTGAAATATTATTTTAAAAAATTATATTTAAATATATTATGTAATGTATTTTTTTCCTGTGATGACAAAGCTTAATTTTTAGCAGCCATTACTATTAGCACTGTAGAAAACAGCTGTTCTGCTTAATATTTGTGTGAAAAATCATGGATTTTTTAACATTGTCTTTACTGTCATTTTGATCAATTTAATGCGTTCTTGCCACATAAGTATTCATTTCTATTTAAAGAAAAATTTTACTAACCACAAACTTTTCAACAGTAGTGTATATCATTTTATTTTCATTTTATTCTTTACATTTAGCATTTAGTTGAATCGTTTTTGCATTACTTTTTTAAGCACCAGAATTACTGCTGTATACCCATAAAACTTTTCCAAAGGATTCATAGCGTTTTTGAACACCTACCTGTCCCCCTATACCTTTTGTTTTGTTGGTGCACCTGCAAATAAAAGCCCTATGTCTAGCTTTTACGAATCTGTGGAGTGAAAGAGCTGTTAAGGCTTAATTGCTTAAAGGCCAGGACATGCATAACATGTTTGGGCTTGAACAGTACAGAAATAGCACTCTCTCACTCACAGACCTGCTCCTCAGTTTCCATTCAGCCCGCCTCAGTAACAAACACGGTATATTCATTTCAACCGCTGATAGTTTAGAAGCCCCGAAACATCTACAGAGCTACCGCAGGCTCATTAGAGGATACAAACAAACAGACACAGAAATGGAGAGCAATGCTTTCTTCCCAGACCTTTTTACAGCATTGCTCTTTGAATGCGGATGCCTAAACGCTGCAATTCTTAGATGCGGATGCTTCGCTCCCTTGAGATGAAATGTGAGTCTTTGCTGGTGCATTTTCTCAGCCGTTGGCCAAGTCAGGCAAAGTGGCTTAAAAAAATACTCCGGCCCCCAGTCAGGATCTATCAGCTCTAGATGGATTTCCTTCTATGAAGAAGTTCAATCACATTTAGTTTCAAGGCATTTTTAATGGAATAATGTCTGTATATTATTTGTTTTTTTTATCTTGCGTTTTATCGTTTATCATATTTGCAGGCTGGTGAAATTGATGGCTTGCTTTATGTTCCCTTTAGCAAAAATGTATTACATTTTGCAAGCCTCTCATAGTAATACTCAAGGGCTCAGGCTGGATAACATGCAGGATCTTTTTCATTTATTGTTATCCATCAGTCTGTATGCCAATATCATGCCTTAGACATATAAAATAAGAGTCATGTGCTATGTAAAAATCTATACATTCCCCCTGCAGTGCACTCCAATTCCAATATGTGTAATTGCACAGCTGCCATGACTGGAAAACCGACCTTTTGCGATCAATTAAATGTGCACAAAATTCATATGCATCAGCTGAAACGCAAGCTAATAGAATCAATTAGCTGTAAAATGGACTTTAAAGCAGAAAAGCGTTGTTCGAGGTTCTGTTGAAAGAGCAGCTCTGGTTTGTCTGCGGACTTTATCGTCAGCTCTGTGAAAGTGAGGGCACTGGCCTGGCATCAGCACTGATTAGATCTGACACGAGCTAATGCTCTTTGCTCCGCGCTCATTGTGACATTGATTGATAGTGATACAAGCCGCCAGGCTGGCATGCTAACCTGCAGCAAACAGTATGCAAATGCCGCTGTCCTTACAGAGGAAACGGGCCACATCAACTAATCTGACGTGCGCACCTCTTGCTCAGGGACGTGTGTCGTGACTCATGGGCAGTTTATGGAAAACGAGAGAGACGTGGATGTTACGAGGGCCAGCAAACACGTGGTCAAACACAACTGTAAAGCTGACAGTTGTACAAACATGAATGAGGTCAGACCAGTCTAACAAAAGACCCTATTATGGTCATCTGACTCTGTGTGTCTGTTTTCCAACAAAACTCATGTTCATTTGATAATGTTTGTCCCCACAAAACACTAGCTTAATGTGCTGTGCAACCTTGAAAACGCCAACAAATTTTATATATAGACAAACCCACGCAGAGAACGGTGAGAGTGTGTTGACAGAGCTGTTAGTCAGCTATTGTATGTAATTTCAGTAAGTCAGAATTTGAAGGGATGTTTTCTTTTCTCTGTGGAACACAAAAGAAGACGTTTTAAGAAAAGTTGTAGTGTTTTTTTCTCCAACAATTTTTCTCAGAGATAAGTATTGTTGATTTTAAAGCTCATATGAATTGGTTTTAAATGAAGAAAATGCAGTTAGCTCAGACACGTATTAAAAAGGCCTCTAAAAAATCTATTCTAAGGACAAATGTTAATTTAAAAATATATATATATATTTTGACCCTGATAATAATTCTCTCTAAATGATGGATTGATTGCTTATACTACCAACTCTTTTTTTTTTTCTTCTTTTTTTTTTTTAAAGAAATAAATTGTTTCATATGGCAAGGTTGCATTAAATTGATCAAAGGTAAAACACATTAATAAAGACATTTCTAAAAGATTTCAAATTATTACAAAAAATCTTAAATAAATATTTTAACAAAATAATAAATGCTGCTATTTTCAAATTTCCATTCATCAAAGAATTCTGAAAAAAATTTTGATCAGCAAATCAGCGTATTAGAATGATTTCTGAACGATCATGTGATGCTGGAGACTAGAGTAATGATGCTGAATTTCAGCTTTAAAACTTTAAAAAAGATCTAATTAATTTCATTTGAATTAATATTTCATAACATTACTGTTTTTACTTAAATAAATGTCAGCTTGGTGAGCATAAGATATTCCTTCAAAAACATTTATAAAATCTTACAGACCCTAAACTTTTGAGCAATAATGTATATACAGTATAGCATAGCCTTTCATTCCATATTGCTTAAATAACATGCTTAAAGGTGAATCAGCAAATCAGCATATTAGAATGATTTCTGAATGATCATGTGATGCTGGAGACTAGAGTAATGATGCTGAATTTCAGCTTTAAAACTTTAAAAAAGATCTAATTAATTTCATTTGAATTAATATTTCATAACATTACTGTTTTTACTTAAATAAATGTCAGCTTGGTGAGCATAAGATATTCCTTCAAAAACATTAAAAAAATCTTACAGACCCTAAACTTTTGAGCAATAGTGTATATACAGTATAGCATAGCCTTTCATTCCATATTGCTTAAATAACATGCTTAAAGGTTAGCACATCTTTGTGGTTGATGTACACTTTCACAGACATCTGCGACATGCTTACCGGGTCAATATACCCATCCTGCTTCCATGATTTATCCTCAGCCTTGATGGTGGATATTTCTCTTCCTGTATCTGAAGTGCATCTCAAAGCACCATCAGTGAGCAGATAATCACAAGACTAGTCAGCAAGGCACTGATTAAGTGTCATATTATTTTTGCATGATGGCATTGATCGTCGTAAGACGGTGCATCATGATGCTAGGTTTCTGTTCCTTTTTAGTAGTTTCTGCCAAAGCCAAGGTCTTTGTACCTTAAGATATTCATAAGCTGGGCTTTGGAGAGCTGCCCAAGAATGTGAATGTGAAATGAAGACACAGTCCACTGTGGCCACCGATCAGAAGTGAGACATTATTTTTGCGGTGAATGTGACCGTATGTTTTTGCATCTCTAAGAAAATATGTTCATGTGGGATCATAACACATGCACATACTGTCCATACTCTTAACATACCAGGATTAATTCTTCTTATGACAGTACATGTCCTGTTGGCATTGATGACATCTAAACACATGCACAGTCATGGAAACACACACACACACACACACACACACAATAGAAGCATCAAAGGCTAGTTTGGATTTGCCGACAGTATTGGGAGCACCCCCGTTCAAGTTTTGTGTTTTAGCTCCCTTTCATCTGCCAACACACACACACAGACTCACTTATGCACGGTCTAGGATCCCTATTCACCCTGCCTTCTTTTTAGCCAATGACACATACCTTCATCTGGCCCTCTTTGAAGTCTCTCTCCCTCTGAATGTCAAGCAACAGCAGAGAATTTACAATGTAAGCAGCATATTGTAGTCTGCTATGCTAATTCCATTCATCAAATAACAACATCAAACGCATTTTTGATATGGACGTGGATCAAATGACTTTTTTTCTCATGAAAAAATATTACAGATATGCAGTTGGTGGATGCGAATGGTTAATACTTTATAAGCTTTGCTTTCTTTTTCATCCAGTCTTCAGATGTTATACTTTTTTATTTACTTGAATACTTAAAGTTATATGCAATTACATTTATAAGAAGGCATCTTTATTCCTTAGACATGTGGTTTTGTTTTGTTTTGTTTTGAGAAGAGGAGTAGCCAGTAGGTGAGAAAATGCTAATATATTAATATAACTGATATAAACAATATGAATAATGTAAATATTCAAAATTCATTTTTAGTAAATTTTGCATTATTGTCATCATCGTCGTCATCATTATTCATTATTTTACTACATCATATCTTTTGGAATTTGTAATTCTAATTGCATGGAATATATCTAGAGAGCAGGATGGCCAGTTGTTGATATATTATTGTAATTGATATAGATAAAATGCACTCAAAATTATTACATTACATTTTTAAGTACTTATGAAGTGCTTTTGCCATTTGTATGGCACACATTTGACAGACCTTGAGTGGCAATGCCAGTGGTTTTAATGGCATTGCTGATGTTTCCTGAGGACATTCTGGTTCATCATGAGAAACTGGATTGAGGGGCATCTGTTTGCCTGAGGCAAACATCCCGAGTCTCTCTACGAGCGTGTGCTATATGTGTTTTCACATCAAACAGAAATAGGCATGCCTTGAATAATGAACTTCATATGTACCATTCCCTTTTTAGAATCATGCTGTTCAAAAATGTATTTGTAAGTGGTTATTATTGCACTGTTCTTCTATGTTAATAATGAGTGCTAGCACAGACCTGACTAAGAGTGATTGTAAAAACATATGCTGAATCTGTGATTGATGTTATGCTCTGTCTCTCTTACCTTGCAGGTCTGTATAACTCTGTAGATAGCTGGATGATCGTGCCCAATATCAAGCAGAATCACTACACAGTCCACGGCCTGCAGAGTGGCACCCGTTACATCTTTTTCGTCAAGGCTATCAACCAGGCAGGCAGCAGAAACAGTGAACCTGCTCGACTCAAAACCAACAGTAAGTCCAGTCCTCATGAGCTGTGCTAAGGATCTATAAACCTCATGGTAGTCGTCAATCGATATGGCTTTTTCAATAGCTGATGCCAGTATCTTGACAGCAGTATGCAGTATATTCCCAAAATGAACATTTATTTTACACAATATTTACTCAACATTCACTTCAAAAATATAGAGTGCTGCAGGGCTGATATATTTTTGTAGTTCAGCCCAGAAGTTTGCATCACCCTGGCTCCCTCAAGTAAAAGCCTTTGAATTTTTCCATTAGCCTTTGGATTTTTTTCGTACACATTTTGTTCAAGATAATCCTCACAAATGAACACAGCTGTTAGGAATTTTGAAGCCTAAAATCAAAATCACCAGAATGAACCCTTGTATTATGTTTGAATAATGGGTAAGACTTCTATGTTGCAGCTCAAATTGACACTAATTTGATTCAATACAATTTACCAAAAATCACACTATGAAAACTAACAAAAGTAGTTAACCTTTATCTTAATGCTTCTCACACATTACACTAAAAACAAATAATACAACATGTGATTTTCAAACTGAATTTAACACGTTTTTTTTTCATTTTCAAAACAATATGAATATTATTATAAGCAGCATTGTAGCAATTATTTTTTAAATGCCAAATGTGTAAATGTAAATACCCTCAGACGTTAGTGGCAAAACGCATACATGTTTTAATATATTTAATATAGTTGGCGTTGACCATAAATTTGAGGGTCAAATTAACTCGTGAGCATCATAAACATAATACAGATTTTGCATGCACATACGCACATTGAGTTTTCCTGTATTTAGATGCATAGATGTATTTAAAAAAATCACTAATGTGGTATTATTCATGTATTCTATGTTGTAGAATAAAACATGAAAACATCTTGAGCTTGTTTTAACCGGAGACCTTGTTTCAGGCATTTAACCAAAAACCCTTTCAAAAACAAAAAAAGATTGACTTCAGGACAATGGAATTGAATGTACAAAAATGCTAACTGTTTCCAGGTTTAAGGACATGTTTCTGGCTGCAGCACTCTATATACTCCCAAAATTATGATTTGTTTAACAAATTCAGTGCCCTGGACCCCAACTGTTACAGGATATTGGTAGGGAAGGTTAGGGACTGATGCGAATAATCTCACCATAATCAGCAGATTATCTGAATGATAAATCTGGCCAAACGCACCAGTCTACTCCTCTTAGGTCTTATACCCTGAGTCCTATAGATATGGTGGTCGTACATCAGTGTAAATGCAGCAGCTCTGTCATACTCTAGCGTTCAATACCTTTATCAGCGTTCCATCTGTGACAGGCACCCGAGCATGCAAATAATGAGAACCATCAGTTGGTTTGGTGTGTGTGTGTGTGTGTGAGAGAGAGAGAGAGAGAGAGAAAGAGAAAGAGAGGTCTGGGAAAGCCCGGGTCCCTCACCTAAGCTGTCAGACGTTACCCAGCCTTCTCACAGCAAAGAACTCAATCAAGATGAAGCGCACCGGCTGACAGCATTCAAATGGGTTATTGCATCAGAGTCTCTCCACGGCCTTGTGGAGGAGTTTGAGAGAGAAATACAGGAATGTCTGGAGGAAACGGCAAGCGCTCATTTTCATTGTCTGTTTCTTCCTCTCAGTCCTGTGCTTTCTCATGGTTCCTCGAGCTTCTGTGAGAATGCGGCAGGAGTATCTCTCTCGCTTTCCATCATTCACCCCCACCTGTCTTTTTTTGTCACTGTAATAATGCTGTTTTTCGACAGCAGTGCCATTAAATGCCATTTTCTCCCAGACACACACAGAGCTGCGGTGTTTTAGCTGTGTTGTGCTGTGAAAGCCTGTCCTACAAAAATGTAGGGGAGCGTTTATACAGTATGTTGCTGTAAGTTTGCTAATATTTAGACTCAAAATGCAAGCCCTTTAAAATGTTTTTGGGACACCCAGAGAGAAGAACTAGTAATTATCTGTAATGCTGCGTATAAGATCGTAATATTATTTAAACATCTAATATTGTGAAATATTATTACAATTTAAAATAACCGTTTTCTGTTTTCTATTATACTGTATTTATTCCTATGATGTTAAAGCCGAATTATCATTACTCCAGTCTTCAGTGTCACATGATCCTTAAGAAATCATTCTAATATGCTGGTTTGCTGCTAAAGAAACATTCATTAGTATTATCAGTGTTGAAAACAGTTTGCTTTGAATAGAAATCTCTCTTTTGTGACATTGTAAATGTCTTTAATGTCACTTCTGATTCATTTAATGTGCCCTTGCTGAATAAAAGTATTCATTTCTAATAATTTTCTTTTTTTTTTAAATCCCAAACTTTTGAACAGTAGTGTATGTGCTGCTTAGATAACGCTGCTATTGGGAAAAATGCTATAGAGATGAAGCACTACTGTTATTCTTAGTGCTTTGGGGAAATTATCCAAGGTATAACTTTCTCTCTTTGAACTACGGTAACATTAGCATTCAAAGTAAAACGTTTAAGGCTCCTGTTTATAGTATTCACCAGAGAAGACATTTTAACCCTTGCATTGTCAAAGAATCCACTGTCATTTGCCACAGCTGTGGCTTCTGCCCATGTGACCATATAAAACAAGAAACGGCACACACATACTCACCATGCCTACTCGACCGTGAAAGTCCAGACACTTCCCCCCGTCTCAAGAGAAATGCTATTTAAAGACATTTACATAATCACTTCCTGTTTGATTCAGGAATCCAGAGTGAGAGCGTGTTCAACCTCCAGTCGAATCCTAGAGCTCACGCTTTATCATCTACAATTAAATTCTCAGCAGCCTTTGAGGGGTGACTGTAATTTGCAAAGGCAAAGAAGATGTAGAAGTGATCGTATCACAGGGCCACTCAATAGTGAACTGCACAGGGGCCAAAGAGCAGGATCCCTTTAGCCTCAAATGCCACATTCGTAATGTTTTATTTAATTAATTGTATATTAATGAAGCAAATGAGCTGTGTGGTATGTGGTATGACATATATAAAAAATTTAATATCAAGTCAAGTTAATTTTATATTAAAGTCAAGTTAAATTTATATGACAATTCACATTGCTTCAAAGCACCTTTACAGAAAATCATGATGTTAATATCTTAATATCTTCATACCTTAAAGTCTTAAAGTCTGCAAAAAAAAAAAAAACTAAATATTGAGAAAATCGCATTTAAAGTTGTCCTAATGAAGTTAGAAATGCATATTACTAATCAAAAATTAAGTTTTTATATATTTACGGTAGGAATTTTACAAAATATCTTCATGGAGCATGATCTTTATTGAACGTCCTAATGATTTTTGCCACAAAGGAAAAATCTATAATTTTGACCCATACAATGTATTCTTGGCAATTGCTACAAATAGATCCGTGCTACTTATGACTGGTTTTGTGGTCCAGGGTCACATGTAGTTACATTTTGTGTAAAAAATAAAAATGATGCAATTGAGATTTACTATATAGGATATATCACAGTAACAGTACATATCATGGCATACACGGTATATAAATTTTTTGGTTACACTTTATTTTAAGGTGTCCTTGTTACAGTGTATTTATACATTTAAGTACTGAGTAATATTAATTACTATATGGTTAGGGTTTAGCTTAGGGTTTCTTACATGTAATTATGCATAATTTATTGTTATTATAATAGTAAGTACCTTTAACGTGTAACAAGGACACCTTAAAATAGTGCTACCAATTCTTTTTTTGAAATATTTTATTCACTTAAATATTTTGGAAATGTATTGATGTACACTAAAAGAAAACCTGAGAAAACCCGCTGAAGTGAATACAGTAGAACAGAATGCAGAGCACTGTGTGTGTGTGTGTGTGTGTGTGCAGCCTGTCCACCGTGGCCACTCTTCCTCTTTATTTTCCATCCCTGCTCCTGCTTCTCCATCCCCCAGTCCATTGTCAGGCTCTACGTGACTGTGTGCCTGAAGCGCAGCCAGGCTTACAGAGCAAGAACGGGAAGACATCAAATGGCTCTTTGCAGGTTGTGCTGAAATCAAAGTTTGGTTTCTCCAGCTGAACTTTGGATGAGATAATATGTTCAAAAGGCATTGCTGAGATCCATAATACAGGCAGCAGCAGGAGACTGAGCACAAACTCAAGTCTAGACACATCAAACCAAATCACTGCCTTTCATTCCCACTGATCTATCTTTTATTCCTCAAATGGATCCTCTTTCTTCTTGTTTTCTCTTTTCTGCTTTGGTTGCATTGTTAATCATAGTATATATCATTAATCCAGACTGATTGTTCTTTATTTGAGCAAGTCCCTCCCTCCTTTGGTCTCAATGCATTTTGAAGGTTTTTAATTATGTTTTTTGCACTGTTTGTCTTTTGATATGGTATCATCCCGCTGTAGCACAATAAATATGTTTATTGATTATAAAGTGGCCCCAAAAAGTATTTGGACACTTCAGATACAGTTTCATCATTTATTTTAAATGAGATGAACAGCAAAGCACATTTTGTTAGATTCTACAACATAAATATATACAGAGTATTGCAACACTTTCCCGTTTGTCAAACTTTAGTGCAACATGTTCACAGTTAATGTGATGAACTGCACCTGGTTACTCAAATTTAACAACCTGTGTAAACTTGAGGAGAACTGACTTCAGCCACACAAAAAATCAATGTAAATGTATGAATTCAGTGCCATTCTTCCATTTGTATTGTTGAAATATCCAGATAAACCTTTAAAAGGTTAAGACATTAGATTTGGCCACATTTACTGTTTTTTGGCAAATTATGTGGGACAAATCTGGTCTTTTCAGTAGGAATCCATGCAAATGGGAATTTTGTGTGAGGGAAAAATATTTCCCCAAACAGATTTCGCAATGGTTCAAGTTGTAACCAACAGAAAGCTGCTTGGTTTAAAAAAGTGATTACTTTATGAGCTGTGCTTCATGCTACTGACAATATACCACTTTTTTGCATGTAAATTTTACCAAAATTTAGCAAATCTGACCTCAGCTCACTCTAGAGATCCAAGATGTCTTATAAACTTAAAAAGTAAAGGTGTATGAAAACATTTTAGCTGAAGTAATGTAATGTAAGTTTGAGCCTCATCTGTGTCATTCCCTAGACCTCCAAAAATCCTTCTTCCATTCTTCCATCTGTTCTTCTCTACTGTATTATCCAGTAAAGACTCATAACAAGCAAAACATTTTCATATGACCTTTGAGAAATGCAGGATATTTTAAGCAAAATATAACATTTTGGTAATTGCTTTCTTCATTATGAGAAATAACGTGACAGCTCAAGTTTTCTTTTTCTGGGTGACTAGCTTTAATGTCATGTTTACTCTGCCCTGTGAAGGTAGAATTTTGAATGACAGCAGTACTAAATAAGCCTGTCTGTCTGTTTGTGTGTGTGTAGTGTCACACTGTGTTCCTATAGGAGGTCTCTCCTGTTTAATCAGCACTGCCATGGCTGGTGACCGTACATAAAGCCAATATGAGAAATATCACATGACAAGCAGCCCCAAGGGCAGCCATGTTTACTTGTTGTTAAAAGATCTCAGAATAATATTTACTCGTCCTGGACAGCGTAGAAATCGCTCAAGCTGTCAGCGGTCGGCCCTCCCCTGCAGAAAACACACCATAACGGCCCAGCCCAAGAACAGGAGCCAAGCCAACCATGTGGCCCCACTACACATCTTAAAGGAAGACGTACACTAGATTTGTGTCTCTGTGTGGACACAATTGTGTATAATGGCATGGGTATTACAACATAAATATGGTTTATAAGGACACTTCCTGTGTCCCCTGTTTTTTTGAAAGTCTAAAAATGCACAGTTTTGTGTGAGGGGTAGGATTAGGGTAAGTCGATAGAAAATACACTTTGTACTGTATAAAACCCATTACATCTAAGGAGTGTCCCCATAAACCACATATGCAAGTGTGTGTGTATTAGAAATGTGTAAATATAATTTAATATTTTACATATGTTTTATATATATATATATAGTGCCGTGAAAAGGTTTTTGCCCCCTTCCGTTTTTTTTTTTTTACATATTTGTCACTTAAAAGATTCAGATCATCAAATACATTTTAATATTACACAAAGATAATGCAAGTAAATACAAAATGCAGTTTTTAAATGATGATTTAATTTACTAAGGGAAAAAAGCTGTCCAAACCTACCTGGCCCTACGTGAAAAATTAATTGCCCCCTCCTGTTAAATAATGAAAGAACTGTGATTAACCACATTACTGCACTGCTGACCAAAAAGAACACAAAGGCTTGTCTCACATTTGCCAATAAATATCTTGATTATCCCCAAGATTTTGGGCAAATATTCCTTGGACTGATGAGACAAAAGTTGAACTTATCGGAAGGTGTGTGTACCGTTACATCTGGAGTAAAACCAACACAGCATTTCATAAAAAGAACATCATACCAACAGTCAAACATGGTGGTGGTAGTGTGATGGTCTGGGGCTGCTTTGGACAACTTGCCCTAATTGATGGAACCATGAATTCTGCACTCTCTCAGATAATCTTGAAGGAGAATGTTTGTGACCTCAAACGCACTTGGGTTATGTAGCAGGACAATGATCCCGAACACACCAGCAAGTCTACCTCTGAATGGCTCAAGAAAAACAAAGTTAAGGTTTTGGAGTGGCCAAGTCAAAGTCCGGGCTTAAATCTGATTGAGATGCTGTGGCATGACCGTAAACAGTCTATTCATGCTCGAAAACCCTCCAATGTGGCTGAATTAAAACAATTCTGCATAGAAGAGTAGGCCAAAATTCCTCCACAGCGATGTGAAAGACTCGCTAGTCTCATGCCAGTTATCGCAAACGCTTGATTGCAGTTGTTGCTGCAAAGGGTGGCATAACCAGTTATTAGATTTAGGGGGCAATTACTTTTTCACGTAGTGCCAGGCAGGTTTGGACAGCTTTTTTCCCTTAATAAATGAAATCATAATTTCAAAACTGCATTTTATATTTACTCTTTGTGTAATATTGATGATCTGAATTATTCAAGTGTAACAAATATGCAAAAAAAATTCAAAACAGGAAGGGGCAAAAAAAAATTCATAGCACTGTAGATAGATAGACAGACAGACAGACAGACGGACAGATAGATAGATATAGATAGATAGATAGAATGAAAAATTTTGGAAATGGAAATATTTCATAGAACTTTCCTTAATAACATTAACAACTTTGAAAATACTTTCATTTGCAGATCAAAAATAGACTGACCATACTCTAAGATAAAAGTTGTCTAATACATAAAAAGATAAATAAGATGAAAAATTACTGAGAGAACTTAATTCCTGAGGGGGGGAAACATAAGAAGATCTAGTAACAACATTGTCTATATAGATCCACAGATCATATATAAATATTATAATATTAACATTGTAATAGTATATTTCAAAAATTAAATATAGCCAATAATATGAATTCAATACAGTAAATAATGTTTTATATAAGGGAATTTGGTGAATTATATATATAATATTAGACAACTTATAATATTAATAATACATAATACTAATACTACTAATAAAACACAAAATATATATTATTGTGTGTTTATATTAGTAGTAGTAGCAGTAGTAGTATAAGTTATATTATAAGTTGCCTAATATTTTATATTTCACCAAATTCCCTTCTGAACTGAAAATGATCTTATTTGCTGTTCTGAAAGACACTGCAGTGCTGTTTTTTATGTCATGGTCACAGCTGGCACTACACATTATGTTCTTGTCACTGTGAAATGCACATTTTAGTGCTTTACAAATAAACCTTTGAATATATGTGACACAGGCATCAGCGTCTACAGCAGCTGTCATAAATGTATTTGTTCTCTGACTCGCTACTAATTTTTGCTCACACAACTCCACTATGTAAAGTATATATTTCTCCACAATAGATCGATATATTTCTCTGGTCTTTTTATTTAAATTTTTAGCTTTGATGTACCTTATTATTTGAACTGTTATGCTTTTATATTTCTAACTACATACTACATGCTTTCATAAACAAATAAATATTCTGCAGAAAACAATCATAATATTCAACATAATTTCTTGTAGTTAAGTGTATAAAAGTATGCTTTTTAATTTCCTGTTTTTAAATAAAAACGGCACAATAAAGACCTTTATTCTGACACCTGCACGGCACAATTATGCCATTTTACACCTTTGTGTCTTGAACGGTTCATCAGTTTTATAGTAGCGGGCAATAAGCATTTCATGGGATTCTCGATTGTAGCCTTGTGTGTGTGTGTGTGTGTGTGTGTGTGTGTATGCATCTGCATCGCTTTTCCCAGTGCCCTCAAACACATGCTGTAAAATGGCATGACTGCACGAGTGTTGAGAATGGCTGCGCTCGCAGCGATAAGCAGTTCAAAGACAAGAGCGTATTAATGTAATTGGCTTCCAGCAGCACATTGCCAGAACCTTTCATATCTGGGTGCAGTAAACCTCACTCTGGGTTGAGATGATTGGTTTGTGGGCAGGGACGGAGCGCAGCTGATTGTTTTGCTGCATTGTCAGTCATTATGCCAGGGATGGGAAGATTTAGACGTACCAGAGTTAAATGTCGGGTCTGCGGGGTCACCTCTGCTTTTCAAGAAATTTTAAACTCAAATCTGTTACGTAGCTGATTTCATTTAGCATTTGGTTCTCTCTGTCTTTAACTCTCTTACACACACACACACATCACAACCGCTCATCTCCTAATTAACCAGAAGAGCTCAATCTGACATTTAACAAATTGCACGAATTCCAGCAGACCAGTGAGAGTTTCTTCTCAGGTCACCAAACTCATTCCCCACTGGCTCTTGTTACATGTTCCTGATGTATCTCACCCATCTCTGTCCTCTCCGCTCCTCAGGTCAGCCTTTCAAACTGGACCCCAAAACGGCCCATAAGAAGCTGCGCCTCTCCAATGACTGTCTGACCATGGAGAAGGATGAAAGCTCCCTGAAGAAGAGTCACACTCCGGAGCGCTTTAGCGGAACCGGATCCTATGGTGCCGCTGGCAACGTCTTCATCGACAGTGGCTGTCATTATTGGGAGGTTTTACTGGGCGCCTCCACATGGTAAGTGATTTCAGATTTTCAGGCTTGTAACTGTTATGTTAATAGGCAGTTGTCAAAAGTATATAATAGGCAATTGAGTCACATTCCCCATAGATCATTTGCTTAAAACAGAAAATTATGTGATTACCTGCCAACCCTTATGTTGCTTGAAATTTGTTCCTTTAAAATAGAAACGAAATTTTGTAGTTATAGTTATCATCTTGGTGTGAGTGGACATTAACTCTATTCCATTTAGCAAATATGCCTAATAATTGATAACAGTTTTATTATTTTATTTATTACAAGGTATTTGGGGGGAAAAGGGGGTATATACATTATATATAAACACAGTAATATATATTATTGTGTGTTTATATATTATTAGTAGTAGCATTATAAGTTGTATAAGTTGCCTAATATTATATATATATATAT